GAGTTGGGGCAGCTGGATTGGGCTCCCGCTGATGGATTCAACGGTGGCATCCTGCCGCTGCCCATCGGCAGCAGCGGGTGCGACCCGTCGGCCAACAGCGGTAGCGCCTGCCTCTTGCTGAGCTGTGTCCGCTGGCAGGGGCACCCGCTGAATGGTGTGAACGATCGCATCCTGCCGCTGCCCAACGGCAGCAGCGGATGCGGCCCGTCGACCCACAGCGGTGTCGCCTGCCTCTTGCTGAGCTGTGTCCGCTGGATTGGGCTCCCGCTGAATGGATTCAACGGTGGCATCCTGCCGCTGCCCATCGGCAGCAGCGGGTGCGACCCGTCGGCCAACAGCGGTAGCGCCTGCCTCTTGCTGAGCTGTGTCCGCTGGCAGGGGCACCCGCTGAATGGTGTGAACGATCGCATCCTGCCGCTGCCCAACGGCAGCAGCGGATGCGGCCCGTCGACCCACAGCGGTGTCGCCTGCCTCTTGTTGAGTTGGGGCAGCTGGATTGGGCTCCCGCTGAATGGATTCAACGGTGGCATCCTGCCGCTGCCCATCGGCAGCAGCGGGTGCGATCCGTCGGCCAACAGCGGTAGCGCCTGCCTCTTGCTGAGCTGTGTCCGCTGGCAGGGGCACCCGCTGAATGGTGTGAACGATCGCATCCTGTCGCTGCCCAACAGCAGCAGCGGATGCGGTCCGTCGACCCACAGCGGTGTCGCCTGCCTCTTGCTGAGCTGTGTCCGCTGGATTGGGCTCCCGCTGAATGGATTCAACGGTGGCATCCTGCCGCTGCCCATCGGCAGCAGCGGGTGCGACCCGTCGGCCAACAGCGGTAGCGCCTGCCTCTTGCTGAGCTGTGTCCGCTGGCAGGGGCACCCGCTGAATGGTGTGAACGATCGCATCCTGCCGCTGCCCAACGGCAGCAGCGGATGCGGCCCGTCGACCCACAGCGGTGTCGCCTGCCTCTTGCTGAGCTGTGTCCGCTGGCAGGGGCACCCGCTGAATGGTGTGGACGATCGCATCCTGCCGCTGCCCAACGGCAGCAGCGGGTGCGGCCCGTCGGCCAACAGCGGTAGCGCCTGCCTCTTGCTGAGCTGTGTCCGCTGGCAGGGGCAGAACACAAACAAAAAGCGTTGGGACGTGAGGCCTGTTGCGTGGTGTCATGGCTTCTCCCAAATTGCCGTGCAGAAAGAGATGGAGCCGCTTTGCTACCAGACCAGGGCCGCGGCTGTGAAAGCTGTGGTGCCGTGGAGGAAGCTGCTTGACAGTACTGTTTCTCCGGCTGCGTACTGGCGCATCGCCGTAATAAGCCAACTTGCGTTTTGCCCCGAAGAGCTTGATCTATTGGATATAAAAATGATATAAGCACCAAGGGTATGGTATTCTTATACAAGATTCCTGCCTTCTCACTTTCGAGGGAAAGTCCTGCCACGGTATTGTTTACAGTTTGGCGACCCATGGGCGGCATTCCGCAATGAAGTAACGTTTCCATAGAACACAGCCGATGTTGGTGCCTTAACAAGAAGCGAATATATTATTTTCGTCGATTGGCATAACGAGACGACTTCAGCAGATCTGATCCCCCTGATAGGACAAAGTGCGAAGTACAAAGCCGGCAGTCATCGTGTAGCAAAATCCATACTTCAAAGAACTTCTTCGTTAACGTGATCTTGGTCTAATTGATCCAGTTACCTAATTAGCGCCGGTACTCTCTGTCATATAACTTCGCCTTGGCGAAAGTATTTTCCTCAAATACAATACTAGTACGCCTCCGGAGGTGTATAATATAGTTTGCTACTATGCAGAAACAGGTTCTGCAAAGTACCACCAGCTTGCCATCATGCTCGGCACCGAACGTATTTACTTCCCGGCCAGTTTCGAGGAAGGGGGTCATCACCAGGGCTGAGGCGATGTCATCATCGTCAATTAGGGACAAGCCTGCGTGGACTGGCAAGTCTCTGGCCTGACGCGATCCTTTCGCAGCGCCCTAATACGCAAGCATAGCAGCCCTGCCGGCAACGAATAACCCGGCACGCGTACGGTGTTGCCAGCACCCGCATCAGCATTACGCCTTTCCCCAACCTCCTAACCCATACCGTACCGCCGGATCCAGTTGACCCCTTTTGGGAAACCTTCCCCTCTATCGTCCCTTGGGTATACCCGCCAATATCCCTTTAAAACTGCCATTTGCCAAGGCGACTTAGGCTAGCCTTATCGCTCCCTGGCATTGTGTTTCGGCAAGCCGTTACAGGGCCTATTCTCCCTTCCCAAATCGAAACGCATGAAGTGCTCCTGCCGTCTTGGGTCAAAATATGGTGCGCTTGACAGTGTGGGGCGAAACTGGCCAAATTGCCTTTCAACGGCATTATACCCTTTCCATTATATGCCGTTTCCATCATAGACACGTCTCCTAACCCCTTACCTCTCCTCATCCACCTCTTCCTCTTCCTTCCTCTCCTTTTCCTTCGCCCTGAAAGGCGACAGTGTTCTCTCCAAAGTGGTGAACTGGGCCATCAATACCCCGCCGCTGTACGGAGCTATGAAGGTTCTCGCAAAGCAGGTACGACACGTGCATGTGCAGCATGGTCCGTACTCGGGGCATATGCGCGTTAAGCATACATCAGCTTTTCTTATTCGCTTATTTTTACGATATCCATATCTATTTCGGACACACAGCCCCCTCGGCCCCCTCCGGGCCCTTGGACCCCCCCCCCTCATCAGGGCTCCAGGTATGCATGTATGTCCCCCCCAAGGTTACATTTTTCGTGGGTAACGCAACCCCAGAAGGTGCTGTCACATACATACACACGCACATCATGTGCACACACACTCTTCTCTTCCTTTTGCAGTCAGTCCTACCGCGCCATCGATCCCGCTATCCTCCGCGCTGTGCTTTCCCACGCACTTCCCCCTCCCTGCCCTCTCCCTTCTTTTCTTCTCCCCTCCCTCCGCCCTTAGTTCCTTCCATGGTGTCGCACGCCCATCCCTGCCCACCACCACCTCGATGTAGGCGGTTGTTTTCCTTGGCGAGGTACTTATGTATACCCCCCCGCCTCTTCCATTGGTTGTCAAACAGCCGTCTGGACGCCGCCCTGGACCCCGTCGTCCTCCTCCTCCTCCTCCTCCTCCTCTTCCCTACCCTACCCCTACCCCTGACCCTGACCCTGACCCACGGTCCAACCCACCCAGGCGATGAAGAACTCTGCTGAGAGTCGGGGCGTGCGGTGGGACGGTCACGTCGACAACATGCGGAGGCAAAACGAGGTGTGCGGGGTGCAGTATGTGGTGCAGAAGCAGTGTGTGCGTGTGTGTGTGTGTATGTGGTGAGAGGTTAATCGGGGATGGTGACGGGAATGGAGAGGGGAAACGACCACACACGCTCTTCAAACAAACACTTCATTCCTCCACATCCCCATCAGTTCAACCCCCAACTCTCTTTCCACACGAGGCGAAACCCCTCAAACCCTCAAACCCTATGAGTTGACGCCCTTTCTTTGGCTTCCACATGCAATGCCCCTCTCCCTCCCCCCCCAGTTGGAGGTGATCAAGAAGGAGCTGGAGGACCCCGCCATGTCCTACCCGGACTACTACCTGAAGCCTTTCCATGCCTACGAGACAGGCAATCTGGAGTGGCTGGCGGCGTACGAGGTGCAGCCAGCCACTTACGCCATGGGGATTCGGACATTCAAGGTGACGTGAGGTGTGACGTGTGAGGGGCCGCCACCTCGCTCGTGCTGCTGCGCTTCTGTTCTTCCTCCTCATCCTTATCAGCGTCATCGCCTGTACATCTCCCACCTCTTCTAAATGCTTTTTGTCCTCCTGCTGCTGCTTTCCCTCTCCCCCTCGCCCATCTCTCTCATCCTCGTCCCCCTTCAGGACAAGCAGCACTGGAGCGGGGACCAGTGCTTCGTGGAGTTGCGGAGCCGCATCACCGACGCCATCAAGGTGTGTGTGATACCTGTGTGTGAAATCAAGATGTATGTTATCTCTCCAGATGTATGTATGTATGTCATCGTCCTCTCAATTCCAAAGCCTTCCACCAGCTTGCCCCTTTCACCCGCCGCTGCTTCCCGCCTTGCTCCGTGCTCTCCCCCCTTTCCTCCTTTCCCCCATATACCCCTCCCTCTCCAGTCCCCGCACCTAAACCTACCCAGCCGCTCCCCTCACTCTCCCTCCCCTGCCCGCCCCTCCCGTACAGTCGTACCACACACGCCACGGTCTACCCCTGCCCTCCCGCATCGCCGACATGGGCTGCTCCACGGGCATGTCCACCCAGTGGTTGGCAGAGCAGTTCCCCCAGGCAGCTGCAATTACTGGACTGGACCTGTCGCCGTACTTCCTGGCGGTGGCGGAGTGGGAGAGGCGCCGAAGATCAACAGCGGCAGCAGCTGCTGCGTCGTCATCGTCGTCGTCGCAGCAGCAGGTGTGTTTGCGTGTGTGTGTGTATGTGTGTGTGTGAGAGAGAGAGAGAGAGAGGTGGGTGGTGTGCTGGATGTTGGGCTGTGGTCAGCTCGGCGATTTGCGATACGGTCCGGGCTGCATCATCATCATCATGATCATCATCTGCGCACCGGCAGGATCATGCGCGCGCGTGTGTGTGTGTGTGTGTATTGCCCACATTCCCACATGTAACCACATGCCATGCACCACACCCATGCTGCTTGCACACATACACACGCGCGCGCACATACATACGTACACAACACGAGAACACACATGCGCATGCTGTCCTACCGCCTCCCCACCAACACCTACAGGCCTCTCACGAAGCCCCTCGCCAACCCCTTACCCTCCCCCCCTAATCTCCTAAATCCTGACGGCAGCGCTCCGCCCCCATCACGTACGTGCACGGCCTGGCCGAGCAGAGCCCCTTTTCCGATTCCTCCTTGGACATGGTCAACTTCAATTTTGTCATCCACGAGTGCCCTCAGGTGGGATCGATCTGTAGATGACGCAGATGAACCCTGAACCACTGCTGATCATAGCTGTTGGCATTGGTTGAGGTGGGCTTGAGGTTGCGTAAGGGCTTTTTATGCTTTAATGATAATAACACCTTGCAAAGAATGTTGTTAAGGTAGTAGGTACTGCAGCGAGAGCCCCAGACCTCAAGGATTGTTATAATTCCCCAGGGCAGGGCAGGGCAGGGCAGGGCCGTCGGGGACCGCAACGGACGCTGATCGAGTGATGCATATAACATAGGGACATGTGCCGCGACGGAGCCTCGGAAGGGGTTCATGGAAGACGTGGGAGATGAAAGCTTCAGTGAACCTGCATGACTTCTCCGAGGCAACCCACAGCGTTCCCATCCGATTCGGGAATCCTGCCTCGTTGGGTAAAGGTTGAGGATGAGATCCTTAATCACGAATGTTACGTTTTTAGCGCTCTCAGCACACTGTTCCCGTAGGGGAGGAATAAACGAATTATAGCTCCTGAGGAATTAATGCTTTAAAATGACCTTTCTTAAATAACTTTTTAACATTTTTAATAAGCCATGCTTATCTCGCCACCCGCCACTCAAATCGACTTGCCGCCTCATCGTGCACTGTCGTGGCTACATCGTTACCCTTTCTTTGGCTCCTTGCTCCTTGCTTCCCGGATACGATTCCCCCCCCTCCAAACCTGGTACACTCTTGCCCTGGCAACAGCTTCACTCGTCCGTGGTTCGTCTTTCCCCTCCAAACCCCCTTTCACTTGCATATCGCCGGTAACGTAACGCACGCAGGCCGCCATCGAGTCCTTCATTCGCGAATCCTCGCGGATACTTCGACCGGGGGGCGTGCTGGCGTTTGTGGATAACAACCCCAGGTAGCACGACGCAGTGCCGTACACCCGCCGCTCACAACACGTGTGGTTTGAATATAACTGTGCGCTGCTGCCTGCGTGGCGTATGCTGTACTGCACCGCCGCGCCCAGCGGCGTGTGTGTGTGTGCTGTGTGTGGTGTATGCATGAGGTAAGAGGTGTTGTCGCGTCCGGCACAGAGTGGTGTCCCTTCCCGGCCACCGCGCTGTCACCCGCAGGACCCACATGTGGCCGGCCTGTTCCTTGTAGTGCTAGTGCCCTCTTTCATGAACCGCCTGACCTGCTAACCCTCGTAACCCCATATCCCAAACCCCAATGACCCTCCCGCCAGGTCTGCCACCATTCAGAATCTCCCTCCCGCCATTTTCACTCTGATGAAGTCCACTGAGCCCTGGTCTGATGAGTATTACAGCTTCGATCTGGAGGTGGGAGGGGGAGGGGTCGGGCTGAGGGGGGCATGTGACACTCCCGCGCTTCTCCGGTGCCCTTGCCGCTGGCGCTTGTAGATATGTACGTTGGCCTTCAGTGTGACCCTGTGCAATTTCGACACACACATATTCGTGCATTAGTCGTACATATTATTCGTACATTAGATTAATGTTCCTCAGGGTCTCACCTCTGTTTGCTACTCCTTGCTTCTGTTTACTACAACCCCCATTGCTATGTAACTACTGTTTGCTGCTGATTACCACTGTGTTTGCTGCTGTCCGCAGGCTGCCATGCGCGCTGCGGGGTTCAAGGAGGTGGTAACGTTGGAGACGGATCACCGACATCGCTGCGTCATGGGAATCAGGCCTTGAGAGATAGATGTATGGCGAGGGGAGGGAAAAGGGGCGAGCGTGGCAAAAGAAGGGGAGAGAGCGAGCGGAGGTTGGAGGAGTGAGGGGGGGAAGGGGAGGGCTTGGTTTTGGAGGCGCATTTAGAGAATGGGGAAGCGAGGGAGGTGGCAGTGCAGGCTGTGGCACCCGTCCATCAATCCCTCTCCCCTGTCCCCATTTTTGAGGTATTTCTCTGGTATTTGCTTGATTTGTGCCAAAGGTTGGTTTTGTTTGTTTGGCCAAGTATGTGTTAGAAAAGGCTGCCTTCCGAACACGGGCCATCATGTGGAAGCAAGACCTGAACATAATCTTGGGCAAGTTTGTTATAATTATTGCGCTGTCGCCTTGATAGTTTGTACATGTCTCTTTCTCTACGTTTGAGTGCTAAGGATGTGTTTTACGGTGAGATGCCTTGAGGAGGAGACAGGACTGACAAAGGTTTTATCTATCGCGTCATGGCCGGGATTCGAAATTCCTGTGAAAACAAAGCACCTGTCTTTTCTACAATCAAGACATGCACTCGGATGGCTACTGCGGAGCAGTGCCGCTTTCCATTGGTGATCCTGTCCACAAACACTAAATGACACCGTCAACAAACGTGATAAAGTAAGGTAACCTGTGACACTTTTAGCATTGATGGTCGCCCTTCATATTAAAGCTATCCGGTGGCGTTGCGCCGAGCAGAGCTGTGCAGTAGAAAAAATCCAGTGTATTTAACCGAATAATGACATATCACTTCTAAAAATCAATACATATGCCAAGCGTGCACCTGTAAGCGTTACACCAGGGCTCTCAGTATGTGAGGAAGTGCTCCCGGAGGTTGCTGTACAGGGGGCCCCCACGTCAGCACGACAGTCCCGTCTCCTGCGCCTTCGATTTGCTCGCTTACTCAATTAGGTCTTCAACGATATTAGGATCTTATTATAGTACCTTTGGATAACTGACAACCTGAGCATATTTTGCCAGGTCGCGTCACAATTTCGGAGACGGGATACAGCACGCTTTTCATATAAGGAAAGCATTTCGAGTCTTTTTCAGCTTTTAAATGAAGCTTTCAAGGCAAATGCCAACAATGAGGGTTGCACCAGCTAGTCTTCCACATCGCCGTCGCATAGTCTGTGGCGCGTCGAATGGCTCGAATGGAGCCCGAACGACAATCCACAGGCTTATCCAAGAAAATGGGTGTCTAATGATGCCAGGTAAGGGGGAAATGCAGTCAGCGGGAGGGGAAACCTCGACGCCGAAAGGTGAACTGGCGTTACAACCTCGCGACACCACTTGAACGCGTGAATGCCACAGGCGTTTACGACGCTTTATCGGCGAAGATCGCAGCGCATGTTGGTCATAAAGCATTCTTCGTCAGGTGGGGTTCGTTCGGTGAGAGACATGGCGCTGGTCATAGTCATTTATCCTGCTTCTAGCACAAGCTGTCGTCTGCAGCAGCTGGCCAATGCTGACTTCATGATGTTTTGTACCCTTCCCACAAATGTCGCTGGATCGGCGCAGCGGCTATGCGGTGAGTTGCCCATCGTTGTATGTTCATGTCCCGCTCGCAGCGCGCCGATCGCTTCTCACTCAGGGTTATAAATGCAATCCTTAAAAGACCCAATCCTCTTATAGAGCAAATTAATCGTTCTCTCAGCGCCTCTACTTTGCAGGATTGTTGAGTTCCTCACTACTGCGCGCGTTACGGTTGTAAGGTGGCATTATTTACCCGGCAACAGCCCGCGGCTATTAATACTCCCGTGCTCCCTGGATCTATGAACCCCTGGATCCTCCTACCTTGGCCTGGTGGTGCTAATGCTACTGCGGCCATGGCAGTTGCCTACCTGAATCATATCAAAGCCGCCGCGGCATCCTCCCCCGCACAGCTCCTTATCACAATTATCACGTCTCACCTGTATGGTTGTACGGTTGTACGGCGTTTTTAAACTTTTCAGGTTTCTGCCTCTGTTCTGGGTGAGCCCGATGTGGGTTTGCTGACCCCGCCGGAGATGGCTCGCAAGGCTGGACAGATCACGAGTGCCGTACCGTTGTTCCCCGTCATAGCGGATGCTGACACGGGTGGGTTGGGGTACGGCATCCCGAGGGGTTGAGGATCGGGGCGTTACAGGACACATCCCTAGGTGGTAACCTTGTGTGTTGCTGAAAGTACATGATTGGCGATGTCATGTTGATGGAGGGTTCTCGCACGGTGCGAACCGACAGGGTATCGAACTGGAGCTTCTATGTACGCATGTATGTCTGTGTGTATGTGTGTATGTGTGTTCATCATTTGATCTAGGTGTGTGTGTGTGTGTGTGAGATGGTGTCTGTGTCTGTGTGTCACTCTCCCCCTTCTCGCTCCTTCGCTTCTCCAAACACCCGATGGAGGCGCATGTCTGCCTTACGGCGCTCCCTCCTCTCCGGGGAGTGCCCATTACGGAATGGAATGGGCGACCGCGGGAGCTGAAAACCACCCAGTTCGTCAACTAGAGAGAAACCCACGTTTGCAACGAAGTGCGTTCTCAGCGGTGGCTCAACACGTACAGCAACGGCAGGTGCAGCAGCTGCCAAAGCAGCAGCAGCAACATTAGAGGCAGTAGCAGTAGGGTATCAGTGGCCGCGGTAGCAGTGCGCGAGGTGATACCGATTTGAGATGGGTGGGGAACAAAGGATGCTCTCACTGAGCCGTACATTGTCTACGAATTACTATATTTTACATCGTACATTATTTCTCATGAGATTTTCGTCCCGTGTACGGATATACGATCGTACGGATGTACGGACGTTCAGGTGGCGGGAACGTGCTCAACGTGCAGCGCACCATCCGCCAGTTGATCACCTCAGGCTGCAAGGGCTGCTTCCTAGAGGACCAGGCCTGGCCCAAGCGCATGGGGCACATGCGGAACAACGAGGTCATTGAGATGGAGGAGTTCGCGGCCAAGGTGCGACTTCGGGTTCTGGACCTAGGCTTCTGGAAGGGGCGAGGAGGAGCTAGAGGCGGTGTAGCACAGATGAGGAAGTATTGTATTCTATCAGGAGGACGAGGAGGTGATTTCAGACGAGGGGTGGCTGTGGCTGTGGTTGAGGTGATGGTAGTGGTGGCGGTGACGGGGCATGAAGGCAGGCAGACGTGTCGATGGTCCGATGCGATCCCATGCGGCCTGATCGCAGATCGCAGCGGCTCGCGAGGCCATCGGCGACGCGGACTTCTTCCTGGTCGCTCGCACTGACGCCCGGGGTACCTCCGCCAAGTACGGCCTGGAGGAGGCGGTGAAGAGGGCCAACTTGTACGCGGACGCCGGGGCGGATGCCACCTTCGTGGAGGCGCCTCGCGGGGAGGAAGAGCTGCGCGTTATTGGGAAGGAGACCAAGGTGCGTTTGTCTGTATGTATATACCTATGTAAAAATGGATTAAGAATGGACACACTGCATCATCATCACATATACACCTCGGTTATACACCTCACCTTGTCGCATGGGGACTTTTGAAAGCTCAAATCCCACCAGCCTTATCGTCCCGCCTGCCCAGCTTCTACCGCCGTCTCCTCTCTTTCGATCCCCGACCCGATCACTTATTTTATGTATCGTCCTTCTCTACGCCCTCCCCGCTCCTGCTCCTGCTCCTGCTCCTGCTCCTGCTCCTGCTCCTGCTGCGTACTCCGCCCCATAGGGCCTCCGAGTCTGCAACATGTTGGAAGGCGGTGTCACTCCCCTTCACACCCGGGACGAGCTCTCCGCCATGGGCTTTCACCTAGTGGTGTACCCCCTGGCAGGGTTGTACGCCGCCACGCGGGCCCTGCTCGACGTGTACGGAACTCTGGCAGCAAAGGTACGAAAGCGGGAGGGTACGGCAGTAATGCTTTTGTGGCGGAGGTTGTGGCGATTCAGAACAACATATCTATTGACATGTGTTGCATGTGTTATGTGCTGTGTGTGAGGAAGGAGGGAGTATGTATGTCCAACCGCGGGGCCACCAGCCTGGCAGTTCCTAGTTTCCCTGGTGTCACCAGGGGTACCTTCATGGGTACCTTTATCCTTTTGTTCACACGTGCCGACTTCTGTGGAGTCAGTGTGAAGTGGAGTTTCTTTGTTGGTGTTTTTCTCACTCTTCCTTCAGGGTTTGGGACCCCTGCAGCTCAATTCTGATTTCCTTGAATATGATTCACCAGGTACCCTTCACCCACACTCCTCACAATCCACCAGGGTACAACACGCGACAATTTGGAGGGTTTGGCGCACTTTAACGAATTCAACGAACTTATTGGTTTGGAGGAGAGCATCCGGACTGAGGAACGACTCACGCACCGGGACGCGTCTGACAAGCTCCACGTGCGTGTACGGGCGCCCGTTAAGGAACTCAACTAAAATAACGAAGAAGTAACTGTCAACCGACAGCTCTCCTGTTTCGGCTGCATGTCTGTGAGATGTGTACGGAAGAAGAGAACGCCTACGGGACATCTTCCCGGGAGGAGTCTTGTTCCGTCATACTATAATTTTCGCGGGCGGGGCGCCCTTGTTTGTGAAGTGGCTTAATTTGGAGGGTACGTGGAGGCCGTTACCGTTACCGGTGTATGTTCCGCAGAGCTGCTCCCCCTTCTAATATGTCGTATTTCTCTTGGGAAGTTGATCTCCGAGCACCCTGTACATGTGGGGCAGGGTGTGGGTCTATGTGTGTACCGGTGTGGATGGGTATGTAGGAGTAGGAGCCTAAACGGTGCCTTGCCATGTACGGCACTAGCTAGCCATGCCGTACACTTCTGGCATACGAACGCCACTGAGAGGGTTCGGATTGTAAGCTGGTGTGAACGCGTATAAACCGCGTAGGTTTGTCCTCTTGTAATTTCCTGGTGTACAGGAAGAGGGGCTCAAGTTTAAGCTTTTCTAGATTTGTTTTTATAAACCATATGCTTGGTGTTTAGTATGTCCTGCCCTTGATAAGGAGGGAAAATCGGGGGGCAGATTTTTTGCTTCTTGGGTGCGTGATTAGTTGCATGGGCATGTCAGGTTTTCACGAGCGGCCCAGTACTTGGCGGCAAGCTTACTTTTCCTTTGCTGTGGCTCTATTTGGCATGGAAATATCTGCAAAATTTTAACTGACCAGGAGGAGACGAGGACGAGGTTCGAGGAAAAAGATGGTGATGAAAAACGGCGCAGAAAAGCAAGGGAAAGGAACGCGACGGACAATAAGGAATGAACTAGGAAAGTGGTAATGGTTGGATATTTTATCTGGGTTCTTGCTGACGTGGTGCGTACTTGGAATGATGTTGACGTATGGCGGAATATCATGTCCGTAACCAATCTTCCGGGCGGCATCCCTTTTCTTGCCGATCAACCGAGGAATTAGCAGCAAAACCAGCCGTGCACCGAAGCCAGCTTCAGAGGCAGGACCTGTGGGAATTCGCGCGGAAGGCTTTCTGTACAGGATGCAGGGTGGCCGCAACTGAAGACGGTGTTTTGCCGCGCAGCGGCATTTGGCTCGAGTTCTGAACGATTGCGGTCTGTCGATTAGTATCCGCTTTGTTCTTTTAGCTTTGTATTGAAGTTGCTTTGCAGTAAAATCCGTTCTCGCAGCATTTGTATGCGGCATCGTGTTTTGAGTTCAAGGACACATGAGACGCGATTACATGCGGCTCTGCCTCTCATATGTATAAAACACTGGATAGGAACCTGTGGAAAAGGTGTCGAGGAGCCGGCGTTAATGTTTATTCAACAGTGATTGAGAGGTGCTTGAAGTTTGGTGCAACACGACATTTTCGGACGAGCAAATCATTCCTTGTTATTAACGTCCGCCCTGTCGAGCTCCAAATGCTTTGGTCCTCCTTTTCCCCGGGCTCGTTTTCGTACTTTATGATAGACGTTGAAGACCAGACGGAAGGGTTTTAATTTTAGTCGCCCCATTTGGTGTGATGCAGATGCGTACGACGTGAGTTTGACGCTTTGTTAATACGTTGTAATTTCCATGGCTACAGAAATGAGGGGACTTAAGATGTGCTGTAATTAGATGGAGGGAGTATGGTTGTCTTAAGAGCGGCTTTTATAGGAATTGGCTGTTATATATGCCTGCTGGCCGATGGCTGGGAGGCAGTTGCTCCTTTGCAAGTCGCCAAGTGCCTTTATGGAGATCATTCGGATTATCCTTGCTTGTCACCAACAGCCGGTAACCCTACCAAACCGGTCGGTAACTGGTCGCTTCGGTACCTGGCCGGTAGGTAGGGTAACCGACATAACAAGCTAACGACCCAGTGACTGGGGGGTCACCGACCAGACATCGGCAAAGCACTGTGTTCCGCGTCAGCGTCCATTTTGCCTGCCAAAAGCGGTGAACCACTTAATCAAATGCAAATTTACAATGCCATAAAAACGAAAATGTAGGTAGTGCTGTTACGCACTTTTTGGCGGCGGCAAGATTTTGCACGGCATCATCACACGACCGATCTGCGCCGCTGTTCAGCCAGTATTTAACCCAATACATAGATAGCAAATACTTTGTGTTACATATGACTTCGTCTTTTCACAATTTGTAAGGTTAGCTTGGCTTCTTTTAAGGGGAACGCTGCATCCAAACACGCACACAATTAGACCCCCGGTGGCTGTGAGGCAAGTGGGGACATGCCTGGGAGGCTGAAAGGGCATAAGTCGCATCAGGAGCATTGTACGCCGCAACAATGATGCATCATACCATCAACTAGTTGCCAGAAAGGCGGCGGGGAACACGGCTTGATCAGTCACCTCGCTAGGCAACCATCATGGGGAAGGGATGTAAGACCATCCTCCTCTTGGATGGGTCGAACTACTCCCAGTGGCTCGGCAACTTAGGGGATTTCCTCGCAACGTCCAAGTTGAAGAGCTACATCAACAACCCGTCGCCTCCGGGCCGCAACACCCAAGACACCCTGGAGGAGGACGCACAGGCGCTCGGCTACCTGCATCTGTCCTGTGAACTGCCCATCAAGCAGTTGCTCAGGTGTTGCCAGACCACTCTCACCGCCATGCAGCTCTTACAGCAACAGTTGCGTTCTGCATCCCAGGCCCGGCTGAGCCTGTTGGAGCCGCAGAAGCAGCCGAGCATGTGCGATGGGAAGACGACCACTGACTTTGTTCAGCAGGCAGAGCAGCTCCGTAGTGATATAATTGTGGCCGGCGGCCAGTGGGACCAGAGCACAATGCGCCAGGCCATTCTCCATGGCCTGCCTCCGCAGTGCACCATCACCGTCGAGTTCACAATGTATCAGCCCAACTTAATGACCCCATAGCTCGTGCTCATGCTGAGGGAGAAGGAGAACAACCTTAAGACCCAAGCAAGCAAGACCAGCCTGGTGGGATCTGTCAGCCCTGGCCGTGCCACCAGTGGAGTCGGCAGCACCACCGGTGCTGCAGGCACCGTGGGGGCCGGCGACACCTGCCGCTACTGTGGACAGCCTGATCACTACATCTGCGAGTGGCCCCTTAAGCAATCGGATGAGTCCATCGGCCTTCACCGCAGCAACGCATATGAGCAGCTGCATGCCGCCAGCTAAATCAGTTGAGGTAGCCGCAACTGCCACCGTGACGGTGGTGGCAGGGGCATTGTGGACTGCCTGGTCACTACATCTGCAAGTGCCCCCTTAAGCAATCGGATGAGTCCGTCGGCCTTCACCGCAGCAGCACATTCGAGCAGCTGCATGCCGCCAGCAAAATCAGTTGAGGTAGCCGCAACCACCACCGTGACAGTGGTGGCAGGGGCACTGGCAGCGGCAATGGCGGTAACAGTGGGGGTGATGGAGCATGTGAACACTGCCATGCTCGATGCGGCAACAGCCACCACAACAGTGGCTACACTGCAGGTGTCAGCAGTGGCAGTGGCTCGGGCAGCAGTGGAAACAGCTCACACCAGAGCCGTGCCACAGTGCTGTTCATCGACGGCAGTGGCAGCAGCTCACAAGTCATCCTTGACTCAGGCTCACCATACCACTTCACGGGTGCACAACCATGTCCCCACCAGCGCACCACGTCTAATCGAGTGGGGCAACAACCACAATGTCCGGCTGCACAACGTGCTGCATGTCCCCAGCTCGGGCCTCACCCTGATGTCTGTCGACCTCATGATAGGTTGACATACCTCATGACACGCAGCTGCTCGGTCACATTCAGCACGGACAAGATGGGCTGCTGGCTCTCACGCATCAGCCTCCTGCACAACAGCCCGTCTATCACCACATGGAGCGAGTGTGGGCACTATGCATGGATGTGGACCTGCAGGCGCCGACTGATGTCACCATCAATGCCCTTGGCACCATGGGCGACAAAGCTGGTGGGGGCCAGGCCGCAGGTAGCAGTGCTGGTGGAAGTGCCGCCACCATCCCCAGCACCCGTGGTGGCAGCACCGCCGGCAGCCACACCAGTGGAGGCCAGCTGGACGGTGACAGCAACGGCAAAGGGCAACCAGGCATCGGCAGCCCTGGAGCCGCTGAATACTCAGTTGCCGAACTTGCGGCAGCACAGCACCTGCACTGCCAGTACTATCACCTTGGTTACCGCATGCTGGAGCGCCGGAGTGCTGCACCACAAACCTGGTGATGGGGCGACAGAGCAGGGGTCGACATCAGTGCAAGTCGACGTCCGGCCAGGGAGGCAAGAGGCACCTGGATAACATGCACAACTGCCTGGGCAGCTAACGGTCAGGTAGCAACACCGTGGTGATGCAGCCAAAAGGGGAAATTTGAAAGTGTAGTGATTGATAATGTGGCCAAAGGGTGGCTAGCCTCCACATCTGCATGACAGCACCAGGCTGAAAGGAAGCAGAGTTGCATCAGCAGAGACTGCATCAGCAAACCGAAGGAAGGAGTCAATAAAGGAGGAGGGGTGTTTTTGCTTGAGGCCTCTTGTGATGGCAGTAGAGTAGTAATAGTGGTGGTGGTCATGGAGCGCTTGGCATTCCAAAGTAGGTGGTGCAAGTGGCTGGTCTACTCACAGCATCCTCCACCACTCACCGCTGCACTCCTTCCATCTCATACGCACAACCAAGGGGATGGGGGCCCGCAGATGCAGGAGAATTAGGGAGGTAGCAATGGCGGTGTCATAGGGTAATAATACAGGCAGGCAGGCAGAAGGTGAG